AGGGAAGGAGGGAAGGAGGGAGGGAAAGAAAGAAAGAGCAGCCTTCATTGAGCCAGGAATCACTCAGTATGAGGACAAAAGAATGAGTAAGGCAAAAGAAAGGGCTTCATCTTTGTTAGCATCATTGTTCATAAAATGAGTTCCCTTCCCATAGCTTAGTCCGCTCCTTCACCTTTCCAGTTTAGCATGCTCCCTTCCTAGGCAGCACCAGGCCCATGTAGTAAAGGCAGTAAATAATCAGCCTCCAACCCCCCATTACCTTGGGATGGCACTCCTCTGGGGCAGCTACCACCATATAAGGCAACAGGAGCCCCTAGAGTGTCCTTCAGGTCTGGGCAGCTGTGGCCCCTTATCGACTATTTGGACAGCAGCCATAAATCCTAGTCTACCATGGCAGAACTCCTGGCCCTCAGCTCCACCGTGGTCTCCACCCCCTAGCCCCTTCTAGCCGCTCCTAAACCTCCTAGGTCATATAGGTCAACTGAGACAATAGCTGGTGCTTCTTCTTACTTCTCTCTTGTGAGAAGAGGTCTTGCCGGCCCCTTTCACGGTAAGAAACCTTTCCTTTGTTCTCTGTACCTGGATGTCTGCATGGTTTTCTGACAAAGTCCAAATAATCTAACAATCCTAGAGCTGCCACGACAGCCCTGATTCCAACTTCAGGGTTTCTTATTATGTGAGAACAATGAAACCTTCATTGATTAATTTCTTCACACAGCCAAACACATTCCAGATGTGCCTGCTCACCATCCCCAAGAAGATAAAGAAACCCAGAAGAAAGCAGAACTGTCCCAGAACTAGAGTGAGGCAATGGCAAGGCAAGGCAAAACGCCTCCTGATCTACAATGAAGCACTTTCTACTATACCATCCTTAGAACACACTCAGGAGCAGGCACACCCACAGACAGCACACTCAAACCACCTCCCACCTTGAGTCACTGTCTCAGTGGTGATTTCAAGAGGTGATAGGCAATTAAAAGTTTGGTAGAAAGCAAAAAACAGAACTGGTCTTGTGCCTCTGAGGAACAATCTAAGAATGAGGCCCTATGACTGGCTCCAGGAAGTCTACCATGATGGAAAATTCAAGTGTTCAAGACTCTAATGAGACGCGTGCAGCTGGACAGGAATAACCTGGCATCCTGGGTTTTCCTGAGCTGGCATGTCTTCAATATTCTGTCATTGTGAGATCACATCCAAACCATGTGTCCTGAATTCTTAGTTGGAAAATGTAGTCACTGCAACCACTTGCAGTGGTATCCCCTGTACTGCTTCATCTGCTTGAAAAATACCGATATACATTTGACAAAGAACACTGTGTGTGTGTGTGTGTGTGTGTGCGTGCGTGCGTGCGTGCGCGCGTGCATGCGTGCGTGCGCGCGTGCCTTATGAATAACAAATGGGAGGAGGGAGCAGAAAGTCCCTCCCAACTGTCTACCTCCCACCCAAGTAGGTTCAGAGACCACACAGCCAACAAGCAGAAAAGCCAGGACTCAGACCACCATTCAGACCAGAGCTTCCTCCTGAGCCAGATCCCAGTGTAAGCATTGACTATGGCAAACCTCTGGCAATGTCAGAGGTTACAGAGAATAGTAACTGTTCATAGCCCAGGAAGAAGAGATTCCTAGCAATCAGTCCCATTGAGTGAGTGGCCAGCCCTTTCTTAGGACTGGAGCTATAGAAACTGTAGCAGTAGTTAACTACTAAGTGCTACTATTGCCAGTCTCATCTCTCACCAGGCTAAGGATCCTGTTCTGCCAGTGGGCTCCAAGAGATCTACAGGACATCACTAACCCTCCATGCTGCCTAACCCAGCTCCCAGGGAAAGTTCCATCTGGGCTGGCCAGGAGCCAGAGCAGCTCACAAAGATTCTGTGCCTGGTGCCAACCTCACCCTCAGCCTCCACAGTTCAGCCATCCTCTTCAAACAATGGGAAGACTGTACTAGGCACAAAAACACAGTGAGTGACTGCCTGAAACAGATTCTCAGGCTTTGGTTCCAGAATCCTGCCTCAAGAGTCCTGGCAGAAGTACAACCTGCTATTCTCTCTGAGTACAGGCTGCCCCAGTCTGGCACAACCAGCCCCTGTGGGTACTGGGAAGACACATGCCATCTGTGGAGGCCTGTCTGGAAGAAAAGAGGTTGTTGTGAGTTGTGGAGTTTCAGAAATTAGATGATCAGTGAAGAGAAAAGAATTCTGGTTCTTAGCCAGGTGCCGGTGGCTCATGCCTGTAATCCTAGCTACTCAGGAGGCTGAGATCTGAGGATCGAGGTTCAAAGACAGCCTGGGCAGGAAAGTCTGTGAAACTCTTATCTCCAATAAACAACCAGAAAACCAGAAGTGGCGCGGTAGCTCAAGTGGTAGAGCGCTTGCCTTGAGCTGAAGAGCTGAGGGACAGCGCTCAGGCCCAGAGTTCAAGGCCCACAACCGACAAAAAAAAAGAATTCTGGTTCTGAATTTAAAGGATTGAGCCAGTTGTCATAATCCCAGCACTCTGGACATCAAGAAAGGAAGATCAGGAGTTCAAGACCAGCTTAGATTATCAGCCAGTCCTGCTCTCAAGTAAAAGAGAAAAGAACAAAATTATACTCCTTAGAAAGAGGGAATAAGCTAATGTATATTGATACTTTCTGGGGTGACTCTTTCCACCTCACAGGATGGAGCCAGAGAGCCACACCCAGGAACCTTCTGGAATCTCAGGCTGGAACCCACATCTCAGACCCATGCTTCTCCACTCTGGCATACAGCCACATACACTGAGATGACAGGACAGCTACAGTTGCTTCAGAAAACAGAACGGAAGCTGAGCACTGATGGCTCACACCTGTCATCCTGGCTACTTAGGAGGCCTGAGAGCTGAGGATCATGGTCCAAAGCCAGCCCACACAGGAAAGTCCTTGACACTCATCTCCAGTTGGTTGTTGGTTGGCTTTCCTTTATTTTGGGAACAATAATTAAGTGCCTGCTATCTCTGAAGAAAACAAATACACAAGTTGACTATGGTAGCTCAGGCCTGTAATCCTAGTGACTTGAAAGACTATTAAGAGAAACACAATTCAAAGGTAGCCTGGGCATGAGTTTGCAGGACCCCATCTCAACCAATAAAAAGCTAGGCACAGTTGTATGTGCCTGACATTCCAGCTATGACAGGATGCGTAAATAGGTGGATTGTGGTCCAGGCCTACCAAAAAGCTGAAAGTACAGGTATGGCTCAAGGGGTAGAGCAATAGCCTTGAGCAAAAAAGCCAAGTGAACGCACGAGGCCCTGAGCTCACCCCAGTACTGGCACACACACAAAAGTTATTTCTCCCTCTAGACAACGAGATCACAAAAGCAGGGACAGGAACTACTGTGTCACCACAGCGTTCCCATAGCTCATTACTGCATCTGGCAGAGTAAGAACCCAGGACATACCTGGTGAAAAAGTAAAACTTTTATATGGTCATGAGAACTCTGAGAGAAAAAAAGAAGTAATGCCTCTCTACCCAAGTCCATTTCCCCCACACAAGTGGCCATCTTGGGTATATATAGAAGCTCCAGAATCGCAGAAGCTGGTGAGTGGGGATGATTCTATTTTCACATCTCCTTGCATATTCTTGTGCTATGACGTTAATGGAGGTATTGCAACTGACAGTGAGGATTGGGAACAGCCCACTAACTTTCAAACCTGCTGACATTCTCTTCTACTACATGCCACAAATCAACCTAATCTGATGTATTCTTTCCATGTTGTCGTCTTCTTTCTCCTCCTCCTCCCCCTCCTCTTCCTTCCTCTTCATTCCCCCCTTCTCTTCTTCCTCCTCCTCCTCTTCTTCTTCTTCCTCCTCCTTTTCTTCCCCCTCCTCTGGTCTCTCTCCCTTTCCCCCTTCCCCTCCCCCTCCTCCTCCTCCTTCTTCTTCCAGTTCTGGAGTTTGAACTAAATACCTTGTGTTTGCTAGGCAGGCATCTTTACCACTTAAACCCTACCCCATCCCTTATTGCCTTCCTTTTTGCCTGTCCTGGGGCTTGACCTCAGGGCCTGGACTCTGTCCCTCAGCCTCTTTGTACTCAAGGTTATCCACTCTACCATTGGAGCCACAGCTCCACTTCTGGTTTTTAGGTAGTTAATTGGAGCTAGAAGTCTCGCAATCTTTCCTGCCTGAACTGGCTCTGAACTGTAATCCTCAGATATCAGATCTCAGCCTCCTGAGCCACCACTGCCCAGCTCCTTTAAATAGTGTCTCACTTCCTTCCTGGGCAGGCCTGAACCATAATCCACCTATTTACATAGCCTGTCATAGCTGGAATGTCAGGCACATACAACTGTGCCTAGCTTTTTATTGGTTGAGATGGGGTCCTGCAAACTTATGCCCAGGCTAGCTTTGAATTGTGTTTCTCCTAATAGTCTTCCATGTCACTAGGATTACAGACCTGAGCTACTATAGTCAACTTGTATATTTTTTTTCTCAGAAGATAGCAGGCACTGAATTATTGTTTCTCAAAATAAGGTAAAGCCGGGCTAGGAAGGTAGCTCAGTGGTAGAACGCTTGCCTTGCATGCCTGAGGCCCTGGGTTCAATTCCTCAGCACCACATAAGCAAAAAAAGAAAAAAGCCGAAAGTGGCGCTATGGCTCAAGTGGTAGAGTGCTAGCCTTGAGCTGAGGAGCTGAGGGACAGCACCCAGGCCCAGAGTTCAGGCCCCACGACTGGACCCAAAAATAAATAAATAAATAAATAAAAATAAAGTAAAGCCAACCAACAGAGCATGGTGTGCTGACCTGGCACAAAATAGCTTCTTTCTTTCTCAAATATACAAGCAAGTTAGACTACGGAGTGCAGGGATGAGATTTCTTACCTGGTTTCTGTTTGAAGACTGGCATTACACATCTCTTATTGCAACCAAAAGTGCAGCATTTTTTTCTACCTGGGCATGTCTCATCAGTGGTACACGCTTTAGAACAGGATGGTTTTCGAATGACCTTAGGACACTCTCCTTTCTTCCCTATTACAAAAACAAAGACAGCAACAGAAAGGAGATAGCAGTACCAGGTGCCAGAGAACCCACAAACAGACAAGAGAGAATCAGAGAAGCAAGCCCTAGATACACTTAGCCTCCAACCCTAGGGCTAAAGCCAAAGCCATGGTAACAGTAATAGTCAACATTTGTCATTACATTTACAATGTTTATCTTTTTGTAAGAACATCTCAACTTGATCCTCACAATTATCTTTATTTTATGTAAGAGGAAATTTAAGCTAAAAACTTAGGATTTGAACTAGATGTAGCTCAGTGGTAGAGTGCTGTCTATCATAAATAAGAAGATAGATTCAATCCCTACAGCGTAAGAGAAAAAAAAAAAAGAATTTGGGTGAATCATGCCAGAGTGCAGAAGAAAAGCATCTCACAGCACCATTTAAAAAAATTAAATTTAAGATTTAGCTGGGTGCTGGTGACTTGCTGAGACCTAAAGATCAAGGTTTAAGCCAGCCACAGCAGGAAAGCCCATGAGACTCTTATTTCTAATTAACCAGCAAAAAACAGAAAGTAGAGGTACAGCTTAAGAGGTAGAGAACAAACCTTGAGGAAAAATAGCTAAAGGGCAGCACCCAGACCCTGACTTTCAGCCCCAATACAAACACAAAAATAAATAAATAACTAGATAAGATTTTAAAAGAGCTGTTTAAAAAAAGGAAAGAGCTATTTGAGGCCAGGTGCCAGGTGTCCACACCTGTAATCCGAGCTACTCAGTAGGCTGAGACCTAAGGATCACAGTTCAAAACGAGCGTGGGCAGAAAAGTCCATAAGAATCTTTTTTTACGTTAACCAGCATAAAGCCAGATGTGGCTCAAGTGGTAGAGCACCATCCTTGAGCAAAAAGCTAAGGCCCAGTCCCTGAGTTCAAGCCCCAGTACTGGTGTACACACACGCATGCATAGATACACACACACACACACACACACACACACACACACACAAACACACACACACTACACAGATTTAAGAAATGATGTTTAAGGGTAAATTTTTACCTGGTCTAAGCTATTTCCCTTCTTCCCTCCTCCTCCCTGAGCTGGGGTTGAATCTCAGGGTTCACACATGTTAGACAAGCACTCTACTGAAACATATGTCTAACCTGCTGACTTAAACAGGGTTCCATAGCTCCCAGGCCCCAACTTCAAGCCCCATGACCAACAAAAAAAAATCAATAAATAAATAAAATAAAAACCAAAAAGAAAGAAGAAGAAGCCTCAAAAGAGAAAAAGAAGAACTGCTCTAGGTAAGCTGACTTCAAAGGCCCAACTAGGAAATAGAGAGCTCTCTGGTTCTACCTAAAGACAAGGACAGAGTGCATGCTGGGATTCTGGTTCTTATGCCAACATACCCTTGGGAATATCTCCTCGGCAGACCCAATCACAGCCTGTGCTGCAGCACTTCTGCCCAGCAGGACACCAGTCATCACCACGGCACAGCTGTTTGCATGAATTCTTATCAGGAGGGCATTCTCCCTCTTTCTCTACAAGAGATATCACAAAAGATTAGCATGATTGTCTAGACAGTCAAAAAATGGAGGACAAATAAACTTCAAGGACCTCAAATATCCTACAACCTCTTTCTCCTACCACAACCTATCAACTACTGCAGAACCAGCATGTTTCAAATGCAGGGAGGGCAGGGATACGAGGATCCTCTTCTCATTTAATGAGCTCTAAAGAATAGTTGCAAACTCCATCTAGTACGTCTTGTCTCCTCAGCCAGAGAGGAAGGCTAAAGTCAAGATTACCCTGGCAGCATGGACTTAAGAAACTCCTATAGGGCTGGGAAGGTGGCTCAGTGGTAGAGCGCTTGCCTTGCATGCATGAGGCCCTGGGTTCAATTCCTCAGCAACACATAAGCAGGAAAAAAAAAAGCCAGAAGTGGTGCTGTGGCTCAAGTGGTAGAGTGCTAGCCTTGAGCTGAAGAGCTGAAGGACAGCACCCAGGCCCAGAGTTCAGACCCTCAACCAGACCCCAAAAAAAAAGAAAAGAAAAGAAACTTCTGTAGCCGGGCGCCGGTGGCTCACACCTGTAATCCTAGCTACTCAGGAAGGAGGCTGAGATCTGAGGATTGCAGTTCAAAGCCAACCTGGGACGAAAAGCCCATGAGACTCCTATCTCCAATCAACCACTCAGAAAAGCAGAAGTGGCACAGTCGCTCAAGTGGTAGAGCACTCGCCTTAAGCTGAAGAGCTGAGGGACAACGTTCAGGCCCAGAGTTCAGGCCCCACGACCAACAAAAAAGGAAAGAAAAGAAACTCCTTCTGCAAGGAGCACTGAAACAGCCAGGCCCCAATGGCTAATGCCTATAATCCTAACTACTTAGGAGGTTGAGTAGCTGAGGGTTGAGGTTCAAAGCCAGACCTGGCAGAAAAGTCTGTGAAACTCATCTCCAGTTAACCACTAAAAAAACAGAAGTGGAGTTGAGGCTAAAGTGGTATAGTACCAGCCAAAAGCAAAACAAAACAAAGAACATACAAAAAAAAACTAAGCAAATGCAAGAAGCCCAGAGTGTTAATCCCTAGTATCAGCACAAAAACAAAAAACAAAAGCAAAACAAAACAAAAAAACACCAAAAACAAAATCAAAACCAAAACCCTAACTCCTTACTCAGACCCATAAGTTAACTAAAAGGAGGAGGTATCCTGGCCCCCTCCTTGTTTGTTTTTTTTTTCACTCAGAACATTTTTAATAATGCACATTAAAAAAAAAGTATTCATCTTTCAAATTGTTCTGCAATCCAAATATACAATAGCTTGGAAAACATTTTAGAAAACAAAAGCCAATGTAAAAAGACAGATTAAAACAAGTAGAACAGTACAGGTTTTATATGGCTCAGATTTTACAGTTTTCTTACTGCATCATCAGTGTCAGAAATCTGTTCCTTCAGGTGCCTCCATTGCTCCTGATTTAAAGAAATACCTTTTCTTCCTGGCTTCATTTTGCCTTCTTGATCCATCCAATATTCTCTAATATCAATTAGAACTTTCCCTTTAAAGTCCCGAACACTTACGTATCTCATTTTCCCAATCGGAAACATGTTATCATCTCTGCTGCTGCTGCTCTGCTTAGAAGATGCCAGAGCTCTCAAAGTCTCACCTGTCTTTTGCTTTTTTTATAGGCTTTTCTGTAGTAACTTGCTTTTTCCTCTTTAACTTTTTCTCAACTTCACTGTCAGAATCACTGCCAGAAGAGTTTGAAGAAACAAGTTCCTTTGATTTAGGCATTGCTCCGCTCTGGCACATGGACAGGCTCGAGCTCATTCCACCCCATTTTGTATCTGTCTCCTTTGTTTTGAGTCTCCCGTTTCTACTGTCACCTCCAGTTCCAGGAATAATCAATATCATCTTTATGACTGGGACCAAAACTACCCCCAAAGCCCCGCAGGATACATCACCTCAAAATAGGAACAATTACTTACAATAATGAGGCTGAATCTTGGGAGTAAGGTACCAGATTGCTCCCCTCAAGTGATAACAGTAGCAAGTTCTGTGGAGCCCCCTTTACAGGATCAGAGTCAAGCTAATGCTCAAGCAGGCCATACTTGGCTGAAGACTGTTAAATTACATGCACTCCTGGCCCTCTGCCCCACTTCTTCCTCTGTTTAAACCTGAAGTTCATGTCAGATGGGTTGACATTTTTACCTCCCCTCTTCCCACACAGAGCCAGTCTATACCTTAATAGATCTCCTTTCTCTCACTTTCTCCAGGACTTATCTCAAATCAGCATATTGGGGCAAGTAATGACGTTGACATGTTGGGACCCTGGGCCTCTGGCCTAGGTCTCTGGTTACCCTGAGAATCCATTCCTGGAATCCTCTTATAGAGATGGTCACCCCCCACCAGCAACTTTCTGTTACTATTACCCAGAGAGGATAAATGATAGCTTACCATGCTCTCCTGCAGCTACCCAGGATGCCAAGGACCCAAGAGCAAGAGCCTTCAGAAGGAAGAGGTAGGTTAACATCTTGATGACACTGAGCGTTGAGATGAGGGCTTAGTTCAGGCCAGAGTTGGACACCTTGTCCACAGTATCACTTGAGGAACAGGCAGGACTGGAGATTACCTTAAACCAGTCCTAAAGGCTTCCCTTATGCAACTGTCTCCAATAATGCCTTCTCTCTTGTCAAGAAGAGTGATTGGTTGCTGGTGTGTGGGAAAATTCCTGGCACTACCAAAAGGATAGGAGGGGTCAAACTCTAATGTAATATATATGCAACACTGTTGGATAATGATGAGAAACTTTGTGCAAAGCTGGAAACATTAAGATAACCATTGGACAAAGGATCAGAGAGAGAGAGAGAGAGAGAGAGCTAAAGGCCTTTGGAAGGATTCAGATACAGCCAAAAGGACAGTGGGAAGGGCTAGACATACAAGTTTATAAGAAAAAAATAAGCTAATAAAATAACCAAAGTATAACATTGCAACTTCTGCTCAACCTGGCAACCTAGAAAAGACAGGAGGGATCACTTAGAGACTATTAAACACACACACACACACACATACACACACACACACACACACACACACACACACACACGTGTTAGGGTTTTTCAGAATCAATACAAATGTACCAAAAACCTACATCTGTCCCTTTTAGATTACAAGAGCTATAAATCAAATAGTCTTATCCATATATGTCCCACTTTATCTATTCTTCCTCTTTTTATTTATCTCTTCTGCTCATGTCCTTGGTTGGCTATGATATTTAATGGTGTCCACTGAGACTGCTGAGATTAAAGAGCCAGGTATATTCCAAGCATAAGGCTAAAGTCTCCATAAAATAGCAGAGTTCGGTGCTAGAAAGTTGACCACAATGTCATAAGGCTAATGTTGAAGCATGGAGATAATACTTGTTGATTGCCTAATACATGTTTTATAAACATTCTTCTTTTTTTTTTGTTTTGTTTTTTGGGTCCGATCATGGGGCCTGAACTCTGGGCCTGGGCACTGTCCCTCAGCTCTTCAGCTCAAGGCTAGCGCTCTACCACCTGAGCCACAGCGCCACTTCCGGCTTTTTTCTTTTTGTTTATGTGGTGCTGAGGAATCAAACCCAGGGCCTTGAGCATGCAAGGCAAGCGCTCTACCACTGAGCTACCTTCCCAGCCCCTATAAACATTCTTCTAACCCATACAAAAATCTCTATCTTTACATGACACTATGTTAAAAACGAACTTTAAAACGTTGGTGGGGGAGAAAGGGATGGTAGGGGAAAAACAAAGGAGGAGGCAACAATGCCTGATAAGAAATGTACTCATTACCTTATTTATGTAACTGTAACCCGTTTGTACAATATTTTTACAATAGGGCTGGGAAGGTGGCTGAGTGGTAGAATGCTTGCCTTGCATGCATGAGGCCCTGGGTTCAATTCCTCAGCACCACGTAAGCAGAAAAAACTGGAAGTGGCACTGTGGCTCAAATGGTAGAATGCTAGCCTTGAGCTGAAGAACTGAGGGACAGCGCCCAGGCCCAAAGTTCAGGCCCCACAACCGACAAAAATATATACATTTTTTTACAATAAAAAGCATAAAAAATAATCTGGGCCTGGGAGTGTTTGCCTTGTATGCGTGAGGCCCTGGGTTCGATTCCTTAGAACCACATAAGCAGAAAAAACCAGAAGTGATACTGTGGCTCAAGTGCTAGCCTTGAGCTGAAGAGCTGAGGGACAGCGCCCAGGCCCAGAGTTCAGGCCCCATGACTGACAAAAATAAATAAATAAATAAATAAATAATAATCTCTATCTTTTTTTCCATTGGTTGTAGGGCTTGAACTCAGGACTTGGGCACTGAGCTTGTTTGCTTAAGGCTAGTACTCTACTACATTGAACCACAGCTCCACTTCTGGTTTTTGAGTAATTAACTGAAGAGTCTCTCAGGAGCTTGGCACTGGTGGCTCATGCCTGTAATCATAGCTACTCAGGAGGCTGAGATCTAAGGATCAAGGTTCAAAGACAGCCTGGGCAGGAAAGTCCATGAGACTCTTATCTCCAGTTAACAACCAGAAAACCGGAAGTGGTGCTGTGGCTCAAGTGGTAGAGCGCTGGCCTTGAGGTGAAGAGCTGGGGGACAGCACCTAGGCCCAGAGTTCAAGCCCCATGACTGACAAAAAAAAGAACAAGAAGAAGAAGTTAATAACAACAACAACAATTAAAAAAAGATGACATTGATCAAAATGCATTGTACTCATAATCTGACTTGTGGAATTGAAACCTCTTTGTACTACTTAAAATAAATTTAAATTTAAAAAATAAAAAATGAGGGTCTGGGAAGGTGGCTCAGTGGTAGAGTGCTTGCCTTGCATGCATGAGGCCCTGGGTTCGATTCCTCAGCACCACATAAGCAGAGAAAACCGGAAGTGGGGCTGAGGCTCAAGTGGTACAGCGGTAGTCTTCAGCTGAAGAGCTGAGCGACAGCGCCCAGGCCCAGAGTTCAGAACCTACGAACCACAAAAAAAAAAAAAAAAAGAATGCTCATAAGTGGCGACCACTGGAAGTTACTGTTACAGTAGCAAGATACTATTATTTGAGGTTCTTTTTGTGCCATGGTTTTAAGCATGAGTTAACTCACTGTAATACTATCAACCAGGATTTCTATTTATAGTTGGGGAAACTGAGGCACAGAAAATCTAAGAAACCTGACTCAAGGCACACAGCTATTAAGTAGTGAAAACAAATGCAGGTGACCCAGTTCCATAGATCATGTTTTTATTTTTGCAATGCTAGGATCCAACCTTTGTGCATGCTGGACAAGTGGCCTGCACTAAGCTATACCCCCAGTTCTTAGCTTTGAGACAGTTTCTCCTTATGTAGCTCAGGCTGACTTTGAACTCTCTATTCCCTCGGTATCCCCTTCCCTAGAGCTACAGTACCACCTGTTCTTAGCCACCATATCATATCTTTCCAACTGCAGAACTTGCTACTATCAATTATGAACTGCTAGGAGTAACTAACTCTCTCAACCACCCATAAATGAATCTAACTCTATTCAAGGACATCTTAGCTCTGAGAGAAGACAGAAAAGGGGAACTCTGGGGACCACCACAGTTGTTAACCCTTCAGCACTAGCCCAGCCACAATCACCCATCTAGGTAAGTAACCCCAATTCCCAAGGAGCAAGGCAAGTTCCCCAACCAAGATCCAAGCTTCATTCTGATGTCTTCAGAAACAAGACACAGCACCCAAGAGCCTTGAGAGGCAGGTAGGTCATAGATGGTTCACGCCTCTAATTCTAGCTACTTAGGAGGCTTAGATCTGAGGATCACAACTGGAAGCCAGGGAGAGCAGGAAAAGAGACTCTTTTCTCCCTATTAATTGCCAAGAAGGCCTGAAGTGAGCCTGTGGCTCAAGTGGTGGGGTGCTAACCTGGAGCAAAAAGCTAAGGGAGAGCGCTCAGGCCCTGAGTTCAAACCCCAGGACCAACACACACACACTCACACATACGCAGCCCTGAGAGACCGTTTAGGATGGTACAGACAGGCCCTCCCCTTGTTGGATCTCCTGTGGATTAGAAACTGCAGTTTTCAAATGACTGAACTGCTGACATTCCCATCCAAAATACTCCGGTCCCTCACAGGGCCCGAGGAAACCTGTTGTTCCTCCTCGCCATACAGAAATTTACCGCGGGGCCTTGAGCCTGGCTGGGAACAGCCGGGTAAGCAGCAATGTCAAACACCCCAGCTCCGCCCCCAAGGCGCCGCCCTCCTGGGAGGAAGCCCCAACCACCTACTCACACCCAAGCGAGCGGCGGCGGTTCGGTTCCCATGGTAACGCCGCAGCTCTCCGCGTCGCGCTTCCGGGCCGAGGAGAGGCGCGCCCCGATGACGTCACTGCGCCACTTTCCGGCCGGTGGCAGAGTCGAGCTGAAGTTGTGGGGTCGAGGACGCCATGGGGGCCACGGGCGACGCTGAGCAGCCGCGGGGACCCGGCGGGACAGAGCGGGGCAGCCTCGAGCTGGGGGATGCGGGCGCAGCCGGGCAGCTGGTTCTCACGGTGAGGGCGCCCCCGGTGAGACCTGGGCTCGGGCCGGGCAGGGCCTCGGGGCTCCCGGGACCCTGGCCCGCGGGCGAAAGAACGCGGCGGCTGCTGCGGCTGCTGCCGCCCAAGGATTGCGGTTTTCGCAGTCCGACGACCCGGGTGCAGATTCTGGTGTCGAATTCCCGGCTAAGTGGTGTGGGCCTGCCCCGACCAGCCCTGAACTCCAGGTTTCTTATCTCTAAAACGGAGATGATTAACACCCATCTCACGAAATTGTAGGGATAGGGTAATACACACCGGTAAAGCTCTCGGTACATCACCTGCCACAGAGTAGACCACTGCTAATCACTGGTTCCCTTCCTCCTGCCAGTCCAGAAAAGGCAGGAAACGTCTTCATTTCCTCCTCCCTGGCAAGGCCTTCAAACCTCTGTTTTCCCGGTTATCCCAACGTAGGAGAGGTGGCAAAGATCTGGGAAGCGGGAATGCCAAGGTTTAACCCATAGCCACTCTCCGTCCCACCCCAGGGTCACGGGCCTCGGTGACCTTTGCTGTCTTGATCCCCACAGAACCCTTGGAACATAATGATAAAGCACCGACAGGTGCAGCGAAGGGGCCGCCGCTCACAGATGACGACCAGGTAAGGCTGGCCCCGAGTGGGACTTACATCTCAGACATTGACTTGGATTGGAGTTTTGCAGCCCCACTATGCAAGGCTAAGATCAGCAGCCCAGAGAGAGCACTGGACTGAAATAAAGAGAGAGAGAGAGAGAGACAACTCAGGTTCTGTAACTTCATGTGACAGTGAGCAAGTTACCTACCCTTATGAATTACTCATCTACAAAATTGGGGTAGTGGTAGATTTAACAATATGGAAAATCCCTAACTGTGGGAGAGGTATAATCAATAACCAAGGTGGAACTAAAGCCCTCTATGAACAAGAGCCTTGGAAAAGTTCAAATCTGAACATCCTCATACACTGCATACAAAATAGCGTAGTGAGCATGAGGAAGTGCCAGTGTTCATGCTTTCCTTCCATTCCCCTTAAGCATTCTTCAAGGAAATAAGGAGGATTCGGTCTAATTAGGAAGGAAACACCGTGTGACCCTACTTCCGACTGCTTACTTCATTGTTACCCTTGGCTTGTTAGCCAAGGCTAATAAAAGTAAGGTGGCTGTAATGCTTGGGACTTTCCCAGCATAACAGTCTGCAGGGCCACACATGTATCCCACACCTAACATCTGCTGGCTCTGCAGTGTGGAGATTAAGAGTATCCTTGGAGTCAGACAGCTGTAAGTTGTTTGGTTTGGCTTGGTCTTGTGATACTGGGATTTCAACTCATGGCTTACTAGGCAGGGGCTCTCCCACTTGAGACATGTTCCCATCCCTCAGTCATCTTCTAATATAGAAGATTTATTAACTGGGTAAAAACAAGTTTCTTAACCTCTCTGAGCCTCTGTTTTCTCAGCTGCAAAATGGGGCTAATAATAATAACCAGCTCAGGGAGGGGAGAGAGCATAAAAAATAGGCCTTTGGGCAGAGTGTTGATGGCTCACGTCTGTAATCCTAGCTTCTGAGGATACTAAGATAACAGTCTGAAACCAGCCCAGGCAAACAAATCCAAGAGATTCTTATCTCCTACTAGCCAGCAAAAAGCCAGAAGTAGAAGTTTGGCTCAAATAGAAGAGCAGCAGCATTAAGTGATAAAGCCAAGCCTTGAGTTTGAGCTCCAATATTGGCTGGTTATATTTAATCAGGATAAGGATTAAATGAATGTTCACTGTAAATATTAAAATATAGTTTTCTGTAAAAATATATTTCATAAACCTAAAAATAATAGTTACTTCATAAGAGAACAGTGATTTGCATAAAATGTTAGCACATAGCCAGTTTTTAGTGAAAATTGTCTGGTATTACTGTTAAAAAAATCCTGTGTCAGGGCTGGCAATGTGGCTCAGTGATAGAGTGCTTGCCTTGCACACATAAGGCCCTGGGTTTGATTCCTCAGCACCACATAATCAGAAAAAGCCAGAAGTGGCGCTGTGGCTCAAGTGGTAGAGTGCTAGACTTGAGCTGAAGAGCTGAGGGACAGAGCCCAAGTGCAGAGTTTGGCCCCACGACCAGCCAAAAAAAAAAAAAAAATCCTGTGTCAATAATTGAGCAAAGTCAGGTGCCAGTGGCTCACACCTGTGATCCTAGCTACTCAGGAGGCTGAGATCTGAGGATCCCAGTTCAATGCCAGCCTGGGCAGGAAAGACTGTGAGACTCTTACCACCAAGAAACCACCAGAAAACCAGAAGTGGCGCTGTGGCTCAAGTGGTAGAGTGCTTGCCTTGAGCTGAAGAGCTCAGGAACAGCGCCCAGGCCCATAGTTCAAGCACCACAACCAACATAATAATAATAATAATAATAGTAATAGTAATATAATAATAATAATAGAGCAAATTGGGAAAGGATATGTTTGAGATATGTCCCCTGATTCTGTCTCCTTGTTGACCAGTTTCACAGATCCTGCCATCTCCATGGATCTCCTCCGAGCTGTCCTGCAGCCTAGTATCAATGAAGAGATCCAGACTGTCTTCAACAAGTACATGAAGGTAAGAGGGCCATAGAACTAAAAACGAACGTGAATTTGAGATTTGATCCCCAGCACTGGGGGAGGGGATGGGAGAAGCTAAGGGATAGCTCCTAAGCCCTGAGTTCAAACCCTAGTAATGGAACAAAAAAAATTTTTTAATTAAAAAGCAAGCCACGGGCTGGGAAGGTGGCTCAGTGGTAGAGCGCTTGCCTTACATGCATGAGGCCCTGGGTTCAATTCCTCAGCACCACATAAGCAGGGGGAAAAAAAGCCAGAAGTGGCGCTGTGGCTCAAGTGATAGAGTGCTAGCCTTGAGGTGAAGAGCTGAGGGACAACGCCCAGGCCCAGAGTTCAGACCCCACAACTGGACCCAAAAAAAAAAGCAAGCCAGCAATGAAACTTGTTAAAATTGTTTTGGGAAACAGGGAAGGGAGAGTGATAGATGGGGTGAGATTAATGAGAATGTATTACAAATGTATGGAAATACAACAATGAAATCCTCTTCTGTATAACTAATATAAGCTAATTAAAAAAAAATCTTGGTGTGACAGTAACCCCTATAATCCAACTACTAAGAGAAATGTAATTTTGCAATTTGAGGTAAGTCCTGCCAAAGTTAGCACAAGGCCATAAATACAAAACTAAAAAATGAACAGGGACTAGGGCTATGACTCAGGTGTTAGTATCTCTTGTGTGGCAATAAAGATTTTTTTTTTGGTTGGTCATAGGGCCTGAACTCTGCCTGGGCACTGTCCTTTAGCTCTTCAGCTCAAGTCTATGGCTCTATCACTTGAGCCACAGCACCACTTCCAGCTTTTTCTGCTTATGTGGTGCTGTAGAATCGAACCCAGGGCCTCATACATGCAAGGCAAGCACTCTACCACTGACCCACCTTCCTAGTCCCATAAAGAATTTTTTTAAGCTGGGCTCCGGTGACTCATGCCTGTAATCCTAGCTACTGAGGAGGCTAAGATGTGAGGATCACGGTTCAAAGCCAACCTAGGCAGAAAAGTCCGTGAGACTCTTACGTCCAGTTAGCCACTAGAAAACTGGAAGTGGTGCTGTGGCTCAAGTGGTAGAGTACTTGTTTTGAGCTGAAGAGTGTAGAGATAGCACCCAAGCCCAGAGTTCAAGCCCAACGACTGACAAAAAAATGTTCTTTAATACAGATTGTTTCAAAAATCAGAGCTAAACGTCATTAAAATTTATTTTCTAGAAATACCACTGTTAGCAGTTACTGTTAGTCCAGCAGAATTGTGTGAGCATGCATATGTGTTTGTTTTTTAAGATTATTTTACACACACTGTTTTGCAACTTAATTTATTTCAGTTAATATATTTTTATCTTGTTTCTAGTTCACATCATAATGGCTCATCCTGTCTCATTTATAGTAGTTATAGAGTAGTATGTTTTATGGATGTACATGTACCAGAATTTAATTATCTAGTACCTGGGACATTCAGACTGTCACCAGTTTTTCTCCATTACAAACAATTCTACAGTGAATGCTACAAATGTGCATCTTTGTTCACTTGTGCAGATATTTCTGGAAGATAATTCCTTGAAGTGGGATTAGAGGGTAACAGGAAAACGAAATATTCTGCAGGAAGTTTGTGTTGGTTTGCATTTCTACAACAGTGTTAGAAAATGTTTTATTCATGATCGGACTTCATTCTTGGATCTAATAACTTAACCACCAGTGCCATATTCCTATGCTATCCTTACTATAGTGTGTGTGTTTTTATACGTGTGCATATGTGTGTGCACATGCACTGATACTAGGGTTTGAATTCAAAGCCTTGTGCTCTTAGTTGGCTTTTTTGCTCAAGGCTGGAGCTCTACTATTTGAACCACAACTCCACTTCTAGCTTCTTGGGGGTTAATTGGAAATAAGCATTTGGGGCTGGGAAGATGGCTCAGTGGTAGAGTGCTTGCCTAGCATGCATGAAACCCTGGGTTCAATTCCTCAGCACCGCATAAATCAAAAAGCCAGAAGTGGCACTGTGGCTCACATGGTAGAGCACTAGCCCTTGAATTGAAGAGCTGAGGGACAGCCCACAAGCCCAAGACCCACAACTGACCAAAAAAAAAGA